TTCAAACCTGTCGTGCAACAAATCAGTTTGTTGCAAGTTGCGTGAATACTGACTTCTTATTGGTTAAAATTACACGGAAGGCACGCTATACACAGATCAGGTTGATGAAAGGTTGATGCAGCTTCCGAAAAGTTGTTGTAGAAAGAAGAGAGTTCCTCTACCTGTTGCCACAAGATCTGTACATGTTTCGCGCTTTAACAGACCAAGGCAATTGTGTTTTGCAACAAGTGACGTAACTCTCGAGTATGGCGTAACTAACACGTAATTTTATCCAATCAGAAGTCGGTAATCACGCAACTTGCACCAACCTGATGTTGCAAAAGCCCGTTTTACATCATACTGAATCACCTTCCACTGACTTTAATACAGTGACAGCAAATCACTAAAGCTTAAACCAGCTGATTCTAAATTAATCGGAACCCTTTGCGTAAAATTCTTTAAAAATTAGTATCTTTTCTATTTACTTGGCTAAATTTGTTCGAAAAACAATGCAAATGCACTAGTTTGGGCGTGTAGACTATCATGGCTTAATTTTTTATACTGCTTTTGGTAGCAGCAGCGCTTTTGAAATTATTACTGTTACAAACTGAGCTTTTGACTGGACATCTTATATTAATTAACCCTTCCTAAAATTAAAATTTAAATTATTATTTGTTGTCAGCCCTATATGTTTCCTATATATAGAGGTAGTAGCATTGTTCCCACTAAATTTGAGCTCAGCAGGTAAGGTACCATTCCCGTCTGGTAAGGCAAACAATATGCCGCCAGAGGTACACTTTCCTGAGGGGAAAGGGGGGAGTGGAGTGAGGGGCATGGCCCCGCCCTAGGAGGAGCTAAGTTGTTTGAAACGTAATTCATTTTAAGTCCTATGTTACGCAAATCGGCCGTTGTTATCTTTAGACAACAATTTAAAACGTTTGATCCCAATAATTTTACTCTGTCTTCAATGTTCTCTTTTCAAAATGCGTGGCCCATAAGAAGAAAAGCTGTGTATACTTTAGTACTTTTCCACAAAATATCCATACATTTCCTTGATCGGATCGGATCACAACTAGCGTATTTTTAAAAACTAATTCAATATTTAACTATAAGTAAATCTTCAAGCGGTTGCAGGCGGTAAGAAGTGTTGCTTCAGGCGGTAAATTTTACTGGTTACCACCTGATACGGAGAACACTGTCAGACCCTCATAGGGAGGGGTTGTTGAAGTCCAACCATGCAGATTCATCTTGTGTGAACATGACCTCGTATAAATTAAAATGAAAGCTCTCCTAACACCTTCACAAAATCCTGTTTTTCTCAACTTCCATACAAACTCTGTACCTTTACATTCCCGTAAGCTAATAATAATAATAATAATAATAATAATAATAATAATAATAATAATATTAAAATCAACAGATTCTAAAATAGTCACATACCATGCCAAGGAAATGATGACTTAACAAACACTTCCTTCATTGCAGTGTCAAGACTTTCTATCAACACAAGCACTTCTTCAACATTATTTGCATCCAGGTCATTCTTGATATTTTGATTTGAGGCTGAAAGTTCCTTCAAAAATTTCACAACGGTGCCCATTTTAATTTGACCAGGAAGAGGTCTCTTGCCACCTTGCAAATATGAAGCCAAAGGAGATATGTATACAAAAAGATGGCTGAAGTTATTTCGTGATAATTGTCTCCAGTTGACATCTTCCGTTTTCACCAACCTAAATCCTACGTTGTACAGACATCTAATGAAACAGCGAGTTGTTGGATTAAAAACTGCAGCAGCAAGATAAAATATTTCATGTACTGTCTCAAATCCATACCTTTCAGCTTCCTGTTGACAAAAGATTTATGTATATCTGTTATTTTCATGTTTTTGCTGATGCATGCATAAATAAGGTGCATATAATCTAACTCATCTTCTTAATTATTAGTAGAGTTTCTCGTTGAGTAAAATTATGATTGTGTGAGTATCAAAAGAAAGAAAGAAAGAAAGAAAGAAAGAGAATTTAATACACGAGAAGCCACTTTTGTGAGGTGTCAAGGTTTTGTACAGAGTAAGGGGAGAAAGTTGAGCAAACTTTCCATTTAAAATTGTGGTTAATTTAATTGACTCTAATAATCAAGGTTTTTGAAAAATAATTAGGACAGCTTGTCATAAAAATTAATCCATTTAGCAGCAATAGATAATAATATTTATTACACACTGACATACAGACCCTCCCCCTCATCTGGCTATTACTATCCTATAAATTAATATGGTTAGCTAAGTCAATATTTACAGAGAAATATTTTCATGGATCTAGTCTGGATCTCAGAGATAGGACACTCCGTCCTTAACCACAATAATCTGGGCAAAGTTGTTTGTTAAAAAATCCCACGCTCCTCAGCTACCATAAATATGTGCCTAATAATATTTTCTCGCCCAGTTTTGTTGCCCGGTTTTTTCTCCCTCGGCTTTGATTAAGATAGGGAGAGAGAGGACCAGATATTACCAGGGCCCTGGTCAGGCCATGTGGAGAGGGGGTACTCTTTTATAAGGCCTATATGGGGATATGTATGGTATGGTTATTGTCCTCTTGGTCCTAAGCAGGGTATATAATTTTACAGGAGTCTGTCCTAAATAGAGAGGGATATATAACTTTGTAAGAGTCTGTCCTAATCATAAATAGTGTATATCTGCACAATTGAACCGATTTCCTGAATGAAATTTATTTGTAATCCAAGTATGCAAAAGCAATGATTTGAAATCTGAAAACAGGTATAGACTTTGCCCACTTTGGTCTGGAATTGGGTATGGTTTTGAGGGTACTATGAGAGTGCATAAATGTATTTGTCATTTCAATTTCAAATGAATGAGAAAGAAAGAATTACAGGCAAATTTCAAAAGAATTTTAAGATATTTTTTGTTGGCATTCTAATCTAAGAAATAATGACTTCTCTACATGTCTGTTGCAATTGTGACTATTGTTTGTTTGGTCTGAAAACGGGTATAGATTTAAAAAGCCAGGTCTAGAAATAGGTGTGAAAAATGACTTTTTTGGTCTGAGATTGGGTCAGTATTTGGAGAACCGGATGGCACACCCCCACAAGGAATTCCTTGGAGTTCCCCCCCCTACCACCACCCGGTCATTTCAATATTTGGAGGGGAACTTTTTATCGGGGGGGGGGGGCTAAAAATCGGATATATTTTTTGTTTACGGGTAGATGAGCTTAAAACAGTTATAAGGTGGCTTATAAGAGGCGGTTTATGGCACAAGATAAAGTAACGCTAGTGGAGACTGAGGAATGATACCAAAATGGAAAAGTAATTTGGCAGTATTATTAAGATTCAGCAGCGCTACCAGTATATCAAGCTGTGTCAATAATCTAGCTCAAAGCGGCTTGAGGTTGCGAAACAAAGATTCAAAATCAAAGCACTTTCTCTCTGATTGTTTTGGAAAACTTAAATTGAGGCTAGTATGCATGTACAGTGGAACCCCGCCTTACGACCACCCCGTTTATAAGACCACCTCGTTATTACGGCCATATTCTTTCAAACCAAACGTAAAAACCATTGAGTCATTTATTATTTTGAGGACCCCGTTAATGCGACCACCTCGTTATTACAACCAGGATTTTATGGCCCAACAGTGGTCACATTAATGGGGTTCCACTGTACTCTGGAGCTAAAGAGAGGGAATTTTAACTCTCCAGCTTGCCTGGTATTTAGCCTGTGTGAAATTGTGCCCACGAGTCATGCGCTGCAACTCAGGAAACAGCCTGGACTCTACTCTATGCCCAAGAAACCACAACTGCTCAGCTGTGAAGCCAGTTTTGTTTTCCTGATCACTTGGTTATTCTAAATAAAGATAGTATACTTTTAATGGTTAGAAAAAGGGATTTTGCAGAAATTCAAAAAATTTTCTGACTGCTGGGCATTCAGTTTTTTTAAGACCCTTCCCAGCAGCTGGGCATATGGCCATATTTTCTTGCAGCTAGACATAGAGATTAATTATTGACAGTTGATTAACTATGTACAATCTATAGGGCATCATGTTCACATCCCACGCAGTTCAGCTAAACTTGTCCGGGGGAGGGGGGACAAGGTGGTCACAACCTCCTGCTTCCTGTACCCTGCTGGCTTTTAGTGTTTACGAAGTCATTCGCGTGGCTTGTCTGTGCGAAGTTGGTTACCAACTACGCGACAGACAAGCCAAGTGGATGACTTCATAGTTAAAAGCCATGCAAGAGAGAAACCTTTGCTTGCAGGGTATTTCTTTGACTGGATGATAAGCAGTAACAAATAATGATAGCCTAGGTGTAGCCACACCCTCCCCCTGACAAAGGAAAAGTGGAAAGAGGGAGTGTGCAGCTACACGTAAGCTAAAATAACAAAAACTTGCCTTTTTGAATTTGTCTCTGGCTTCAGATCATCGTAGAGATCCCGCTTCCCGCCCTTTCTTCTCCCGTCTCCCGTACCCATCCCGCCCCTGTTCTCTCAGGCTCCCGCCCCCTGTCCCCCCCCCCACAAACTTTGTTTGTGCAATTGCCGTTTGTATTGTTTAATTTCTCTCCCCGCCTCCCTCCCTGGGGGTGCAAACAATATTATTACTAATCATATAATAGACAGATTTTCAGGCCCAAACGTGTCTCGTGATCATAGGTCAGTAATTTCGAGTTTTCATTGTATCAAATAGCCATATTCCAAATAGCTAAATTTCAAATTCCATATTATATTGTTATTAAAATAAAATAACAACTAGTGCAAAATATCTGCAAATAAACAAAAGAAGACAATAGAAATAGTGCATAATACAACCATGCAGATTCATCTTGTGTGAACATGACCTCGTATAAATTAAAATGAAAGCTCTCCTAACACCTTCACAAAATCCTGTTTTTCTCAACTTCCATACAAACTCTGTACCTTTACATTCCCGTAAGCTCGGCCACACACGCCTCCATTTTAATAATAATAATAATAATAATAATAATAATAATAATAATAAAATCAACAGATTCTAAAATAGTCACATACCATGCCAAGGGAATGATGACTTAACAAACACTTCCTTCATTGCAGTGTCAAGACTTTCTATCAAAACAAGCACTTCTTCAACATTATGTGCATCCAGGTCATTCTTGCTATTTTGATTTGAGGCTGAAAGTTCCTTCAAAAATTTCACAACGGTGCCCAGTTTAATTTGACCAGGAAGAGGTCTCTTGCCACCTTGCAAATATGAAGCCAAAGGAGATATGTATACAAAAAGATGGCTGAAGTTATTTCGTGATAATTGTCTCCAGTTGACATTTTCTGTTTTCACCAACCTAAATCCTACGTTGTATAGACATCTAATGAAACAGCGAGTTGTTGGATTCAAAACTGCAGCAGCAAGATAAAATATTTCATGAACTGTCTCAAATCCATACCTTTCAGCTTCCTGTTGACAAAAGATTTATGTATATCTGTTATTTTCATATTTTTGCTGATGCATGCATGAAATAAGGTGCATATAATCTAATTCATCTCCTTAATTATACTAGTAGAGTTTCTTGTTGAGTAAAATTATGATTGTCTGAGTGTCAAAATAAATAAAGAAAGAAGGAAAGAAAGAGAATTTAATACACGAGAAGCAACTTTTGTGAGGTGTCAAGGTTTTGTACAGAGTAAGGGGAGAAAGTTGAGCGAACTTCCCATTTAAAATTGTGGTTAATTTAATTGACTCTAGTTATCAAGGTTTTTGAAAAATAATTAGGCCAGCTTGTCATAAAAATTAATCTGTTTAGTAGCAACATATAATAATATTTATTACACACTGACATACAGACCCTCCCCCTCATCTGGCTATTACTTTCCTACAAAATTAATTTGGTTAGCTAAGTTAATATTTACAGAGAAATATTTTTATGGATCTAGTCTGGATATCAGAGATAGGACACTCCCTTGTGTGTTAAAAAATCCCACACTGCTCAGCTACCATAAATATGTGCCTAATAATATTTTCTTGCCCAGTTTTGTTGCCCGGTTTTTTCTCCCTCGGCTCAGATTAAGATAGGGAGAGAGGGGACTAGATATTGCAACCGGAGGACCAGTTATTGCGAGGGCCCTGGTCAGGCCATGTGGAGAGGGGGTACTCTTTTATACGGCCTATATGGGGATATGTATGGTATGGTTATTGTCCTCTCGGTCCTAAGCAGGGTATATAATTTTACAGGAGTCTGTCCTAAATAGAGAGGGATATATAACTTTGTAAGAGTCTGTCCTAATCATAAATAGTGTATATCTGCACAATTGAACCGATTTCCTGAATGAAATTTATTTGTAATCCAAGTATGCAAAAGCAACGATTTGAAATCTGAAAACAGGTATAGACTTTGCCCACTTTGGTCTGGAATCGGGTATGGTTTTGAGGGTACTGTGGGAGTGCATAAATGTATTTGTCATTTTCAATTTCAAATGAATGTGAAAGAAAGAATTACAGGCAAATTTCAAAAGAATTTTAAGATATTTTTTGTTGGTGCTCTAATCTAAGAAATGACGACTTCTCTACATGTCTGTCGCGTTTGTGACTGTTGTTTGTTTGGTCTGAAAATGGGTATAGATTTAAAAAGCCAGGTCTAGAAATAGGTGTGAAAAATGACTTTTTTGGTCTGAGATTGGGTCAGTATTTGGAGAACCGGATGGCACACCCCCACCAGGAATTCCTTGGAGTTCCCCCCCCCCCACCACCACCACCCGGTCATTTCAATATTTGGAATGGGACTTTTTAACGGGGGGGGGGGGGGACTAAAAATCGGATATATTTTTTTGTTTACAGGTAGATGAGCTTATAACTGCAGTTAGAGGGGGGCTTATAAGCGGCGGTTTACGGTACAAGATAAAGTAACACTAGTGGAGACTGAGGAATGATACCAAAATGGAAAAGTAATTTGGCTGTATTATTAAGATTCAGCAGCGCTACCAGTATATCAAGCTGTGTCGAGAATCTAGCTCAAAGCGGCTTGAGGTTGTGAAACAAAGATTCAAAATCAAAGCACTTTCTCTCTGATTGTTTTGGAAAACTAATTGAGGCTAGTATGCATGTACAGTGGAACCCCGCCTTAAGACCACCCCGTTTATAAGACCACCTCGTTATTACGGCCATATTCTTTCAAACCAAACGTAAAAACCATTGAGTCATTTATTATTTTGAGGACCCCGTTAATGCGACCACCTCGTTATTACAACCAGGATTTTATGGCCCAACAGTGGTCACATTAATGGGGTTCCACTGTACTCTGGAGCTAAAGAGAGGGAATTTTAACTCTCCAGCTTGCCTGGTATTTAGCCTGTGTGAAATCATGCCCACAAGTCATGCGCTGCAACTCAGGAAACAGCGTGGACTCTACTCTATGCCCAAGAAACCACAACTGCTCAGCTGTGAAGCCAGTTTTGTTTTCCTGATTGCTTGGTTATTCTAAATAAAGATAGTATACTTTTAATGGTTAGAAAAAAGGAATTTTGCAGAAATTCAAAAAATTTTCTGACTGCTGGGCATTCAGTTTTTTTAAGACCCTTCCCAGCAGCTGGGCATATGGCCATATTTTCTTGCAGCCAGACATAGAGATTAATTGTTGACAGTTGATTAACTATGTACAATCTATAGGGCATCATGTTCGCATCCTACGCAGTTCAGCTAAACTTGTTGAGGGGAGGGGGGACAAGGTGGTCACAACCTCCTGCTTCCTGTACCCTGCTGGCTTTTAGTGTTTACGAAGTCATTCGCGTGGCTTGTCTGTGCGTAGTTGGTTACCAACTACGCGACAGACAAGCCACGTGGATGACTTCATAGTTAAAAGCCATGCAAGAGAGAAACCTTTGCTTGCAGGGTATTTCTTTGACTGGATGATAAGCAGTAACAAATAACGATAGCCTACCTGTAGCCACACCCTCCCCCTGACAAAGGAAAAGTGGAAAGAGGGAGTGTGCAGCTACACGTAAGCTAAAATAACAAAAACTTGCCTTTTTGAATTTGTCTCTGGCTTCAAATCATTGTAGAGATCCCGCTTCCCGCCCTTTCTTCTCCCGTCTCCCGTACCCATCCCGCCCCTGTTCTCTCAGGCCCCCGCCCCCTGTCCCCCCCCCCCGCCACAAACTTTGTTTGTGCAATCGCCGTTTGTATTATTTAATTTCTCTCCCCGCCTCCCTCTCTGGGGGTGCAAACAATATTATTACTAATCATATAATAGACAGATTTTCAGGCCCAAACGTGTCTCGTGATCATAGGTCAGTAATTTCAAGTTTTGATTGTATCAAATAGCCATATTCCAAATAGCTAAATTTCAAATTCCATATTATATTGTTATTAAAATAAAATAACAACTAGTGCAAAATATCTGCAAATAAACAAAAGAAGACAATAGAAATAGTGCATAATAGTGCGTAGAATTCTACTGCCTATTTCACGGGCTAAGTAAAATCACTCTATAGTTTGATTGCTATTCTCACCTTGTTTAAAACGCCTTCTGCTTCTTTCATCAATTTTTTCCTCCAGCCACAATTTAAGCTGTGCATTTCATCCTGGTTTTCACCATATTGCAGACATAAAAACTCGACAAATCCACAGTTAGATTCTGGTAAATACTGCACAAACAGTACCTCTAAAATGCTCTCTTTACACTTCACTTTAGAGTCTAATTTATCCCGAAATAGTGCAAGGTATCTTTGGAAACTTTTCTTTGCTTCACCGTTGCGAAGAAACACACGTGGTTGAATTGATATAAGACGATCAAAGATTCTTGAGTTCTTTGAAGATTGAAGAATGATCCATTCGTGGAGTGATTCTGCCATAAATTCCAAAATTCTCAAGTCGTTCATCGTCATCAAGTCGAAGACCGGCCTTGAGAAATACAGAGCAACATTTCGGTGTGCACACGTGTCTATGTTAAAAGTGATATTACGCAATAGGACGGGAGAGGGAAGAACTTTTCGCAAAACTTCACTTTCCTTTAAACAGATCTTTTTGTAAAAGATTAGAAAACATAAATATTGAGTGAAGATCACGACAAAACACTTAAGTAAATGGCCCCGTAATGTTTGTTACACTCAAGCGCTTCGCCCTGACCTCTTCTTCCCAGTGGTGTCCTGTAAAAAGCACAGCCGAGGGCGCGAGGAGTACTAGGAACGAGTTTCCGATTCGGGTCGACTTCGGATCCAATTATGGCAGCTCAAGCGTGGTTTATCGCCAGAGAAGCGTGATTTTACGGTATTGTTGATGAAGTTTGCGTTTATTGTGAGTTTTGAAGTGTTCTTGGTCCTGTATAGTAAGCAGTCCTTTTATAAATGTCTTATCAATTTGTCTTGTCCCGCTGGCCTTTATTACCGAAAAAAATAGTACCGTCCTAAATTATAGCAACATTTGTTGGCATGTACATCACCTCTAGCTTTCATTGTTAAAGTGTGTTGTAGGACTGGATTTCTGCAGGTTTCTACAAGCTTAGGATAACTCTATGGGAACCTTTTTATTCATAAAAGTGGCCTAGTCCTTTTATTACCGAAGAAAATAGTGCCGTCCAACGAGACATACTGAATTTTAGCAACATTTGTTAAGAGGTATGTCATATCTGGGTTTTTTATTGTTAAACGGTGTTGTAGAACTTGATAACTGTATAGGAGTACTTTTCTTCATAAAAGTGGCCCTGTCCTTTTGTCCGGTGCGGGACATCCTGAGTTTTAGCAACATTTGTTAGGAGGTATATCATATCTGGGTTTTTTATTGTTAAACGGTCATTCTTTAGGTTTCCAAATGGTCAGGGTAACTAAATAGGAATGTTTTTTTTTGTAAAAAATGCCTTGTCCTTTTGGCCTGTAATGTAGCAGGACATCCTAAACTATGTCAGTAGTTGCTTGCATGTATTACTGCATGACATGCAGCTTGTTATTGTTACATTGTAATACATACCTTGCCCTCTGAAGGCTTTTTCCTACCAGCTGGGGACAGCTGAACAAAGATAGTTTTATTCATTCCTTGTTGTTGTAATCACCCAAGAA